TATATTAATATATATATATATATAGTTAAATTGTTAAAAATGAATACGAGAGATGAATTATTAAATAAAATAAAGATTGTGAAAATAAAAGTTGTGATGAAAGAAATAGTTGGAGATTGTAAGATGCAGGAAGGCAGGAAGATGTAATAGGGAAGATAAAGAAAAGTGTAAGATGTGAGGCAGCCTAGGAATAGGAAATGGTTTAAGGATGCGTGGGAAAAGGTCAAAGAAGCTCTTCACATGTCAGGATCCTTTTTTTTTTAATTAGATTGGATCATGATTCATGACGAGCATATTTTAAATATAGTTTATAGATTAAAAATAAAGAACTGTTTTTACTTAAAAAAAATTAAAAGTACTTCTAAATATGAATACATGTTTTAAGGAGACTAATTAAGAAATGATATATATCTATACTAATATATAAAGGAGATATTTTTTTGGCTTAAATATGTTTTTAATCCCTCAAATTTAAGACAAATTTGTTTTTAGTCCCTCAAATTTAAAACTGTTGTTTTTAGTCCCTGTATTTTTCAAAAATATTATTTTAGTCCCTTAGGTCACCAATAACATATTTAAAAGTGACTAATTAAGAATGTTATGCAATATCAAACGGATTTAATGTGATATTTTCACTAATAGGGACACTAATAGGTAGATTTTATGCTTGATAAGTTTCTTAACAAAATTTGAATATAAGGACTAAAATAAGATTTTTTGAAATTACAGGAACTAAAAATAACAATTTTAAATTTGAGGGACCAAAAACAGATTTACCCTAAATTTGAAGGACTAAAAACATATTTAAGTCTATCCTTTTTTAACTATTTTGATCTTCATTTTTTTTATCATTATACTCTTTTATTTTAAAAAATTAGAAAAAATATCTTTTAATCAAATTTAATAACTTGAAATTAATGAATTTATACTAATATATAAGGATACTAATTTCAATATTTACTTTTGATTTTCATTTTTACATGAAACGTTTTATTTTTGGTGTATTTTTTAATAACTACATTTTTATAAGTAACTTCTCATTTTTTCTTTTAATACAATACAGACACGGAGTGCCTTTTTCTTGCTAGTATATATAAAAAAATACTTCGTTTACTAATTGTAAGCTATTATATCATTTTATTATTAAAAGTTAATATTTTAATGAAACTAAATATTTAAGCTCAAGTCTTTAAATTTTAAAGATAAATTACAATAGCAATTGAACGAACATATTTTTATTATTTAATCTCATTTTTTATTTTATTTTAAATAAAAAATATAAATTATTTTGAACTTACTAATATATATATATATGAAAATAATAAAAATGTGAATTGATTACAGTAAAATTCAATCATTAGGTCATTATTTAGTGATATTATAACTTTGATCTTTATATTGAGTGTGAGTATGAATAAAAAAAATTATTAAAATAATTAATTAATTTTTTTCGATAAAAACTAATCATCACAAAACCAATATCGTAGCATAGGTAAAATATAAAATCCATTGCAAGTGAATTAAGGGATTTGAGTTCAATTAATTTTACTTTCACTTTTCACATTCTTATAATCTAAAAGACTATTAAATAGGTGTTGTTTGTTCTAGATTTGATTTGATCCTTTCTTCCATTTATAAAACTTGGATTCAGGAATCCGATTAAAATGTCTAAAATCTTATACAAGTAATTTATTAATAAACTTATTTTTTTTTAGCTTTTTCTAAGTAATTTTTTAGAAGAAAAAAAAACAGGAAAAGAAATGATTACTTAATGATAAAAAAAATTAAGAAAAGTAAATTTTCGGTTTATATAAATTATAAATCATGAGGTAATAGAGCTCAGTTTGAATGTTGCATTAAATGTTTTGATTGAGCTAGTTAATTAGCTCAGTTTGAATGTCATTACATCTAGAATCTAGATACGTGTCTTTTAGGCACTCTTAAATCTCCAAAATGTGACGGATTAATTAATGATATACAATAAGCACCACACTAGACCAATCTTGAGCCCAATTTCTAGATGCCTGTCTAATATCTAATTATTTAAATAAATAATAAAACTTATTGGATACGTCTTTCATGGAAAATATATATATCAAATTTATTTTAATATATTTCTATAATTGGAAACGGTGTGTTTTAATATCAT